CAAAACACCCCATAATATTTTTTACACCAGATTTGAGAGCAACATTTGCTCATACATTTGTGTAAATTTGAAGGAAATCGGAGTTTTACCGGATAGGGAAAATTGACACGCATGGATCGATCAATTGAAACAAGAATTTGAAGCAGAAATCTTAGTCTTGGAGACTTTAACAGCGTATTTTTATCTAGAAATAGGCAAACTAGTTTAAAATGATCTACGTCTTATACTTCCTATCAATAACAAGAGAAAACAAGCAAGAATGATTAAGGTTCGACTGTCTATAGTTGAAGAAAAGTGCCTAATTGTCTGAGGATTTTTAAGGTTTTTCTTGTGATTTTCTCGATATTATAGTCAGTATAATTCCGCGGTAACAAAAAGCCCCAAAATAATTTTTATATCAGCTTTTAGAGCAACAGTTTCTCTTTAAATTCCCTAAATTTCAAGGAAATTGGAGTTTTCCCGGATACGGAAAATTAATTTTCAAAAAGTGTAACAATTTAGAATTTTTTGGATCGCAAAATAAGGCGATTTTTACACGCTTGCCTTGACTTTGAAACATCATTTAAAAGATTGCAAAATAGACTATCGTTGTTTATAAACATCTTATATACACGTTTAAAAACCGAAAGTGAGGTTTCCTGAAGACGCGAACTGAGCAAAGCGAAGTTTTCGAGAGGCTATGACTCACTATGTTTTTAGCTAATTTCACGAATCTTGGGTACATGTCAGGTTTTGATAATTTTTCGGCGTTTAAAATAATATTTCAGAAAACAAACCCCATCACGTTTCTAAGTATACATTAGTGTATCACTGGACAAAATAAGAAAACATTTCATTTTTCATCATGTGCCACCAGTTGCTCGGTGATAGTGGAGATTCCCTCTTAAGTGTATTAATGCAGAGTTATTTGAATCTTTGTAATTAGGCATTATTATAGCTGTCATTGCTATTGTTTGCATTGAACTTTAGTTGAATTTGTAGTTGAAATGTATTATTGTATTGTAAGGATCGAAATAAATATTCGCACGCTGTCGTGTGGACCGACACTTCTGTTAAAAAGCCTGTTCTGTATTGAATGATAAATGTTTTATATTCGGTTGAGCGGGGAGCGAATTAGAATATTACTTCATTTCCTCACTGTCCTAAGTACTGTTTAATAAACGAGCAGGATTGTTTTGTTAGGTTTAAAGTAGAAAAAGACCTCGTTGTCCGATATTTCTCTGTAAAGACCTTGCGTTCGGTTAATAAGAAGTTAATAACCTTCAATTTCAACTGTTAATTCAACATCAGTGAATACAATCTTATTCCAACAACAAGTATAGTAATGATTTTATTAATTAAAACTAGCAAAGCAGCATTCGGCCCAATGAAGAATTGAATCAATTTAAAATCCAACTACTAGACAACACTCTCCTTATATTTGTTTTGTATTTTTACCAAGATGCCACTGGAAGACTGTATTATCTCTGCCTGCAAATTATGTTATATATCATAATAAATTATACAATACAATACAATACGATAATTGCGCCTTTTGTTTACTGTGTGCGCCAAAGCAAAACAAAAATTTTGCTAAATTTCTATCCAATTTTCATTCAAATTTCACCAAAAGTTAACTAATTTCTACTTCGGTAGTGTTCATTGGTCCAACAAAATTTCATATTAATACATTTTGATCCCCAAGTCAACGACGGGGAACGCCGTTCCGGGCGTAAGCCCCAGGGGCGAGTGTATTAATTCCGCTCTGTTATTTACACCCTGGGAAAGGAAAGGATTGGCAAAGTCAAAAGTTCATCAATAATCACGGGCGCATGGGTGTCATCTCACTAATCTCCAAAATATGGCTGTTTACCAGGAGTGGGATAAGCAAGATTTCAATTTTCAAAAGCATATATTGGGAAACAACGGTTTCATTCAAATGAACTTTGAAGCAATTTTGCTTTGAAGACTGAATAAGAAGAATTGATTTACTATGTCAAATCGTGAAAAATAAGGGAAGTTTACTTTGAATGTACGTTTTAATGTTTATGAATTTTGGAGTTGCTTTAACTTGTTAATTAGGCCTATATGTAACAGCGAAGGCAATTTAGTTGACTGAACGTCTGAAAACATTTTACGAAGCGTTTCACGGTTTCAGATTAAATATTACACTAAATTAAAGCTTACAAATGGCAAAATACCATACCTACAGTGTAAATTTTGGAAATCCGTTGTTGTATAGTTAAAAGTGCTAAACTTCGCCGTTTTGTACAAAAAATATAAAAAAATTAAACATATTTTTAAAATATATTCCTGTCGTGGAAACTCTTGACGGCAACGAAATGTTACTAATACTTCATGTTAAACAAGAAAATACATGCATGCAGAAACCCTCGCCTTGCCGGACAAAACCATTGTATTTTCCGAACGTGAAGTATTTAAAGTAGTTGTCATGGTAACACGATAATTTTTTAAGAATATTTTTAAAAATAAAAAATCCTCTAAAAATATCACTTTTAATTACAAAATTATCAATTTCCCAAACATATATATGTTAGGTATGTTATTATACGTAATATAAGCTTCAATTTAAGGTAAAATTCAACCACAAACGCTTCGCAAAACGTTTTAAAGTGCTCTTTTAATATACTGTAGTATTTATATAGAACTAAACTGCCTGTATCGATAAGCATTGAGTTCGAAATAAAATGATTCCAAATCATTTTATCAAATCGGCTGCAAATAACTTTGCTTATTATAATAAAAAGGGTAATCAATAAAGAAACACTGAAATAATATGCTGTCTTGTTTCATATTTATACGCAACCTGGCAAGTGGCAACGATCGGCTTTTAAAGTAATTACAGTATATTAAAAGCAAACAATGCATCAATATTTAAAACGAACTTACCTTCGTTAAAGTCGGCGCTTTTACTCCCTTCTTTTAGCAATTCTTTGGACTTTATTTTATCAAAAAGCTTTTGAAATTTACAAAATCTTGCAAAAGCAATCATCCAATGAAGAAATGTTTGCTATTTCGCTGTCGTCATGCAGTCGTTATAATGCAAATTTTAAATTGGACAAATCAGTGCTGGCTATTCATGACAGTCCGCTATATTATGAGATCAGTGAGGATGACCACCCACCGAAACTTCGTTGGTAACCCACGCCCGCGATCATTGATGAACTTTAGACTTCGCTATAACAGAGGGGACTTCCGTCTACGCATGCGCGAGAAACGTATGCGTGGAGTGCAGGTGAGCGCGGGTTGATCGCGTGACTGAATTCAAAACTACTCGTGTTATGAAGTCGTTTTCTTGTTTCTTTAGTGTTTCTACGCTCACAATTTTAGGCATTTCCGACTTAGAAGTGTTTGCTTTGGAATAAGAACGTGAAAGTAGAAATAAAAACTTTTTTGCAGCAGTTTAATTTCGCCGTACAAATATACCTGTTTTATATGTATATCGTTTTCGAAGTGAGATATACAAGTGCAAATTGACATTCTTTGAATTCGTACTTGCCCTATTTTTGACTCTATAAAAACTACTTTTATCCATGGAGAAACTATTTGACTTTAAAAATAAGCTGGAATTATGGAGGTGATATAGGCTAGTTTCTTTGCAAAAAGTGATTCAGTGCTCGGTAGTGTACTTGTTGTATGACTATGAAGAAAAGTCTAAAATGATTTCAACATCCATCAGATCATCAACAAAAAAATCGCGCTTATTACTACTCGTTAGAAGATAGACAATTAATTTAATTCACTAGGAACCCATTCTACAATATAAACTAGAAAACGGCCAACATATTGTCACGAAATACTACAATTAAACTACAGGTCACATGGCGGTAGAGAACTCGACGAAGTATTCAGGATACTTCATAGCCAGTTTAAACGCCGGTGAGCACTATTCCTGTGAACTATGATGCCCAACACACCTGGTAACAAAATTTACCACTTTGTTACGCTGTTGCAAGTACACTTTGAAGATATAAGGTCCGATTATATCATTTTCTTCGAAGCATCTGCTCAAAACAGTCCAACATAAATATCGCCACTCATCTTCTTCGTATGAAAATATAAGTTTTCCTTTCAATTTCTTTCCTTTAAAAACAGTCATTAAGTTGTTGAAGAGTTCGTCTATAACTTCCAACAAAAAAGGCCCAGATGCTTTCAAAAACCAGTGAATCACAATGCTGTAAACTTCAACATCCTTAGAAATTGTAAGCAAAACGTCGAAAAGCAAAATTTGCGGGAAAAAGCTCACGAGCCCGCACTATTTTCATGCAGCGTCGACGAAAGTCCCCTTTGTTTAATTTAATCAATCCTTCCAAACTATGAAATTTCCGGAAGATTGGAAAATTTCTAACGTCTGTGCTATCCCCAAAACTACCCCCATGTAATATAGTGGAGGAGTTAAGACCAATTTCCCTTACTAACGTTCAAGAAGAAATTAGTGATTCTCAATTTGGTGGCCTTGCGGGATCTTCAGCTGTTTTGACGTTAGTGTATTTGGTACATAAATTGGTATAAGAGCACGGAAAACACGGGAAAGGTTGTAAGAATCTCCTTTTTGGAGTTTCGTAAAGCCTATGATTTGATCAAGCATAACATTTTGTTAGGAAATTTTATGAACATTGGTGTGCGCCCTTCGTTAATAAGATGGTTTGCGACGTATTTACAAGGTAGACTACAAATGCGTACGTTTAGAAACCACAAGTCAGAGTGTAAAAGTATAAAAGGACGGATCCCACAAGAAAGTAAATTGGGGGCCCCTGGCCCTCATTATAAAGATTAACCAGCTGGCCAATGTTGTTGAAACACCAAATGATGATCAGAATGGAGGTTCTGACCAAGACGACATTGTTATATTTATGGATGACACTACTTTATCCGAGGTGATTGATGTCACTAATCATGTATCTGGAAATTGCATCGGAAATAGTCAAAATAATACTGAAAACATAATTCGGTTCACGGAAAATGAGTAAATGGAATTGAACGCTAAGAAATGCAACGAAATGGTAGTAGATTTTAGAAAGATTAAGACTGTAATCCCTCCTGTCTGCATTGGGCAACAACCTATGTCTAGAGTGAAAACGTACAAGTTATTGGGACTCTGGATAGACGATGATCTAAATTGGGAATCTAATACAGAGTACATTATTAAGAAAGCAACCAAACGTCTATATTTTTTGAAGGTTCTTAAGGGTTATGGCGCACCAAAAAATGACCTCAAGCCCTTTTATTGCTGTGTTATCAAATCAACCTTGGAGTATGATGCCATGCAGGTATGGAACGGCAACTTGACGCAAGCACAGCGTAATGATATTGAAAGAGGGCAGAAAGGAGCTTTGAGGATAATTGTTGCTGAATATGAGTATAATCGTGCGCTTTAAGAATGTGAAGTTCACATTCTTGAAGCGCACGATTATACTTTGAACTAAAAACGTTACAGGGACGTAGAGATGATTTATGTGTTCGTCTCATCAAGCAGATGTCAGAGCGATCACATAAATTACATTCATTGCTTCCTATAGGAAATACTCTGAGGTAAAAGGAAGAGAAACTAGAACACATCCGGACAAATTTTATAACTTCTTCTGCAGACCCGAATGATTTAAACGCAGTCCGTTAGTATATGCAATAGATAAATATAACGACAGGCTAAAACTGTAGTTTCTAAATTGAGAATGTTAATATGATGCTATTAAGAAATTGTGTTGTCAGGTGGGCAAATTGTGTTTGGAATATAAGTGTAGTGTAATTGGCGATCATCTCAACCTAAATACTATAATGTTTAGAAATGTTTTAGTCGTATTTTAGATATAATTTTGTATATATGCATGTAATATTCTAGAATCAGTTGTAGTTTTAACAAGTAGTTGAATTCAATTGTAAACACATTATAATTTAGCGTATCCGCTATTGAAATGTGGGAAATGAAGCCATTATAATTAAATGCGGTTTATACTGCTATATTATGCAGCGGTATATATCAACTATATATTTGTAAGTTAAGCCATCAATATGAGGATGGTTTTTCGAAGAAATTAACGTCATTTTAACAAAAACATAAAAACAAATGTATCGCATACGAAATTACATTTAGTTTAGTTTAATTACAAGAGAAATATTTTTGAAAAGCACTCACTCAGTATTAAGTGTAAATTAGTAATAGGCTGGGAGAGGGTTTTTTTGTACTATAAGCCGTATCAGAACTTTTAGGTCTTTTGAATGACAGGGCTCAGTCAGTCTGCTGTTCATCTTTGGGATTTTAACAAGCCTTCTAAAAATTGGTCACAGACATCTCTCCAATCAGATCTTCATATCTCGCCTTAATTTAATTTAAATAATAATAATAATAATACTAAGTTTTTAAAAAGAAACGCAAGAATAGGACTAGTTGACATCGATTTTTTATCGCTAAACTGAGTAAGGAGAGTTAGTAGTCTATGCCATATTTACCTAATAGAAAATAAAAACCCCTTCAACTATTATTCAATCGAGTGAGATGTCAAGAAAATCTTGATATTCACCCATACATTAACAAAGCATGCAGTACCGTAGTGTTGTACACGGAAATAATATACATACATACATACATACATACATACATACATACATACTTTATTGTGTTCCTTAAATAGGGATTTTCAACACTGATTTACAAAAAATAAATGTTGTTCTATTTACAAGTTTTAGAATCTAGAATTTAAATTAAGGTAAAAAGGTAAGACATTTGTATAAAGTTTAACAAGGTAAAATTATCTACTTATATATTTGTTCTAGCATGCTTCGCTTCAGTTCGTTTTTGAAAGTTTTTAGGGAGTCTAACTTTTTGTACTTTATGTCCAAATCATTCCAGAGTGTAACGCCTCTATAATGAAAGGACCTTTGACCTGCAGAAGTTTTGTACAATGGTATTTGCAGTGAGTCATGGCTACGTGTATCTCGTTGATGAATGTCAGAACGTTTTGTGAATAAATCGCTCAAATAATGTGGAGCAAGTTCATTGACACATTTGTACATCATAATAGCCTCTCTTAGTAGTAATTGTTCCTTTACTGGGAGCCAGTTCAGTTCGCGTAAGCCCGGCGAAATATGGTCGAACTTTCCAATATTTGTTATTATCATGTATGCAAAATTTTGTACCAACTGTAGTTTCTTAATGTTGGTAGACGAAGTGTTTGACCAAACCGTTGAACAATAGAACATTTTGTTCATTACAAGTGCCGAGACGATGAGAGTTAAAGCTTCTTTATCGAAACATTTTTTGACCCGGTTTATTTGGCACAGGGAATTCATACATGAGGAAACCAGGTTGGTGATGTGCTGGTCATATGTCAAATAAGAGTCGATTGTCATTCCTAGATCTTTGGCAAAGGAGACGGGGGTAATAGTCTCGTTGAGGAAGCTTATGGTCATATCTACGGGAAGTTGTTGTAGGTTTTGCCGTGTGCCAATCAGCATGTATTTGGTCTTTCCCGGGTTAATAAGCAATTCATTTTCGGAACAACTGTTTGCAATCAAATACAAGTCTTCCTCAAGTTGTTGCTTTAAACAATCCACGTTAGCCACAGTGAAAGATAGTAATATCTTGGAGTCGTCCACGTACGATTCAAGTTTACTATGGTGGACTGATGAGGGCAAATCGTTAGTATAAATACTAAAAAGTAAAGGTGATAAAATTGCACCCTGTGGTACACCATAAGAAACAGGGAGAGGAGTAGACACAGTTGATCCAATTCTGACTGATTGAGTTCTTCCGGTCAAGTAACTCTCAAACCATTTTACAACGCTTGGAGAAGCCCCGACGTTGCTAAGTTTTGTAAGGAGAAAAGTATAATTTACACTGTCGAAAGCTTTAGATAGATCTATTAGAATCAGTGCAGTAACCAATTTCCCATCCATGGCCTTTAGGATAGTATCTCCGGTCAAAAGATTCAATGTTTCGCATGAGTGATGTTTCTTGTTCCCGCTCTGGTGGGTTGACAATTTTTTGTTCTTCATTAGATACGAACAAAATTGATTCAAGGCGACTTTTTCACAAATTTTCGAAAGAAAGGTAAGGAGAGAAAGTGGGCGGTTATTTGATGCTTCCTCGTGGTTTCCATCCTTTAACAAAGGGATAACTTCTGCCTCTTTCCATGCTATAGGGAACGAAGATGACGACAGGGAGCAATTAATGATATCGGTGAGGGGCCCAAGAATTACCGGTAGGCTGTGTTTGATGACACGCATACTCACTTTGTCTTTGCCGGGTGATTTGTTTGACGGCATAGCTAATATGATGTTCCTTATTTCTGAACAAGAGACTGGGGTGAAACTAAATCTATCATTTTCTTCAGGGTAGCTGTTATCTGTGCGATTTACGTCAGAAAGATTCCGAGCTGGATAAACACTAGGATCTTGTACTAGTGTTGAGGCTTTCTTTGCTGCATTCACACCGATGGTGGAAAAGAAATGATTAAACTCTTCGGCCACTAATTTCGGTTCCTTACTGTAGACCACTGACTCTCTTTCCCTATACGCTATATTTCCTTTAATTACCTTCCAAAGTGACCCAGTATTGTTTCTGTGTTGCTGAACTTCCTTCAGTACATATTCTTTCTGTGCATTAACAAGTGCGGTTTTTGTAAAATTGCGGGCCTCTCTGAAATTAAGCCAATCATAATGATCACGTGTTTTCCTGAAAAGCCTGTGGAGCTGGTCTCTTTTGATCATGGATGCTTTTATTTCCGGGGTGATAAATGGGCAAGATTTTCCGCGTACTTTTATGGTCTTTACTGGGGCGTGTTTATCCAATGTATTTAAAAATATTTCATTAAAAATGGTTAGTTTTTCATCAACATTGTCCATTCTGAAAATGGAAACAAGACGATCACGGTTGGATGCCAGATCGATCGCGAACAAATCAGGGTCGTATTTATTGTAGCTGCGGGTAGTGATATAGGTTGGTGGAGATTTGTCGGTTTTAAGTTTTAGTGATACATACACAGGGAAATGATCGCTGATACAGGTTTCTATGACGCCGCTGTTGA